AAAAGAATTCAAACGGGATGGTGTACCATTGCACTAATAGTTTCAGTTTCTAAAGTAGTATTTGTAGAAGTAGAATTATTTTCGGCTATACAACATAATAGAATAATGTTAGTCTATTACGCGTTGTTGATTATTTCTTCGAAGATAAGTGATATCCGATAATCTATTTCTAAATTTCTTTTCACCAAAAAATTTAAAATTTTCACTTTTTAACTAATAGAAGTGACAACTATAAGGAACAATTCGATAAAAACTTAGACTACGTTCCTAGTTTCGTTCCTGTATCAACCAACACGTTCTTCGGAGAGGTCCTGGTTATTGTGGACGCTAGGTTAGATCAATTCGTCCAGCATGCGAACGGCGTACCGATGGTCGATCATGCCAGAAGTCCCAAGTAGTCTATGTAGTAGATCTGGAGTCCTTTTCTTAACCGTTAAAACGGAAGCGTGTCATACCGTCGATCCACTGACAATCCACAATGATAATCCAGCCCACAAATCACGATCAATTCGCGACTGCAATTCGGTACACTACTGGGCCAATTTTGTGTTAAAATATGAAACTTGTATGTTTAAAAACGATTTTTATTTATAATACAAGTTCACACAATAATTACTGATGCAAAGCAACTTAAAGACCGGGTTATCCTATGAATGGTCGGCGTATTTATATAATTGCAGTTGCTGAATAAGCATACATCTCGAGATACTACTCTATGTTAGACATACTCATCATAAGTGGCTATATAACTCGGAATATTATAAACCAAATGTTTTATCGGTAAGTTGTAGTACATTACAAATACTATTTTATTTCTAATTCAAAGCTAAATAACACTCCATACTTAACACCTAGAAATATTTTATGCTTATTATTTAGTTAATAATAATAAATAATAATAATAATAAATATATACACGGTGTTCAAAACATAGAGGAACTACGTCATATTTCTTATATTAAATTTATTAAAAATATGACAAACTGTCTCGTGCCCCAAAATACATCAATAAAAGTTTCGTTTTATTTTCTCTGTAGGATTCTGAATTAAGTTCCCAAGACGCATATGCAAATCGCCCCAAAAACCAAAACACTAGAATCAGATAATTTTGGTTACTGCGACGCGACGATTCAAAAATCACTCAAACCCGAGAAAAAGCAACCATCTTCTTCCCCACCTCTTTTTTCCAAAAATAGCAGTAACAAAGAAAAAAATGCCAGGTACTAAACATTCTTTTTTTGTTTGTTTTTTTTTTGTTACTTTTAAGTTTAGCTGTTGCCGAATTCAATAATTGTGTTACTTCCAGCATAATTTTTTATTTCTTAATGCCTGGTATTTTTCCTCGAACTTTCCTATTTTTGAAGAAGAAGACTCCCAATAAATTGAAAATATTGTGGAAGATGAGAGAACTGTCCCAAACACTTCAAATCAAGAAGTCAACGTGTCCCATAGTAATGTCAGTTGCTCTAAAGAACCATTCGTTCATCCAACCCAACCAAAAAGGAAAAAGATGGAAAAGAAACGTACTGTTGCACAGAGTCCATCATCACAGCTAATGCAATACATTTTACAAGAAAAAAAATCTGAGAATGCTAACCAACGTCTACCTCCATCTGAATCGCCTCATCATGTTGATGATTTCTTACAGACTATATCGCATACTCTCAAAAGGTTGAATGAATGAAGGTAAAACAAAAATATTTAGTATTGTTCAAGATATAGAAATTAGGCAGTTAATGGCAAGCCAAAGAGAAATTGTACTATCTGGATCAGGTTCATCCTCGCGACAACTTGGACTCACCTCGAAAGTATTCTTTCAAACCTCTCCATTCTCCTCAATTCCATTTAGCGCCATCTTCGCAATCACCCCAGCCTTGTGATCGAGATAATTTAGCGGCACCTTCAGAAGGATATTGTCTCACACCTCTTCAGCCTCAATCCCCTTCACTACCATATTCGCAGCAATAATTATAGTAACCAGACACAACCCAACTGAGCACAGGTTAACGCGTGTATTGGTTTGACTGTTTTTTTAGAACAAACCTTTCCAGTTCTATCTCAACATAAATAGTTAAGTTAGCAGAATTTTTATTTTTGTATTTTTTTAGGTTAAGTAAATAAATTTTAATTTGTATCTTTTGTGGAAAATAAATGCATTTTTTACATGTTATATAGATTGTTGAACAAGTAAAATTTCCATTATCTTTGAATTGAAGATGTCCAAAACGTGTCTTCTTTTTTACTTATATGGCTTTGTAGTGTTTCAAAAAGTTCATGAAATGTGGTTTGGTTCATTCGGAAATATTAAAAAAATTGTGATAAATTCGCCTTCTCTGCATCTGCTTTGTCAGGTGCTGTGTATCCATATTTTTCTTTTTCTTCTCCTTGTGTTTTCGTAATCTTCCTCTTCCAATGCTATAGCCAACTCCCGATTTGCAAAATTTCTAATCATTATCAATAATTTCGCTGCACTAATATACTCTAGAGAAAATGTTAATGCACTGTCAATACACTGCACCTTTATGTGCACACTTATACAAACGCTAACAAATTATGCGTCTTTATTCTGGAGGTTTTCGAAATAGTTTCTGCGTTCTTCTTTTAGCTTCTGTTAGCATCAATCGCGCGTTTTTTTTTAACCGAAACATCCCCCCCCCCCCCCACGCGTAGGATAGTTTTCAACCTAGTCTAGAGGCAAAGGTGCGAGCTTTGTAATAGGTTGCACGAAGACTCCATATCTCGTTTTAATTTCCGCTACTCTGATCTTATTATCAGAACCAGGCATTACTTTTAGTATTCTTGCTAAAGACCAGTAAAGCGGGGAAGTGTTGTCCTCTTTTACCAAGACTAACATATTGGGTTATTGATTCTTAATGGGCTTAATCCATTTGGGTTTATGTTTAAGTCTCTTAAGGTATTCGACAGAAAACTTTTTCCAGAATAAATTTGAAAAACTAGAAAAGTTGTCTGTAAATTGTGGAAATGCGTCACTATGAGCTGACCCATGCGTTTGTCCCGGCAAAGCGTCTAGCTTTAAGATTCGCGGAATAGTTCTTATTTCGAAATCTGGATCTATTAAATAAGTCGGACCGTGCCACCACTGCGAATTTGACAATAATGAGTATGCATCAGCTCCTGTGTACACTAAGTCCGTTGGATTATTTTTGAAATCTACGTACTGCCAATATGAGGCGGAGAATAAATCCTGGATTTCGCAGATTCTGTTTGCAACAAATATTGTCCATCGGGAAGGGGAATCTTTCAGCCATGAGAATACAATCTGTGAGTCCGTCCAAAGAAACACATCGAAACCTTTCGACTCAACTCTATTGGCAAGTTTGACTAATAAAGACTAATCAAGAGATAGTTTTTAAAGGTACTACCCGAGACTTGGAACAAATAATATTCGAAGAGACAGTTTGGTTGTGATAGATCGTACGTAAATACAGTACTGCATTGTAAGCAGCAAGAGAGGCGTCTGAAAATCCATTAATTTCTACGTTCTTGTCTTGGAGTGAATTATGAAACCATCTAGGAATTTGGTTAAGGTTTTGTGAGAATGATTCCCAAGCAATTTTTAAATCAGGGGTTAGCTAATCTTCCCAATTTAGCCTTTTCAAACAAATTTTCTGCATAAGGAGAGGATCAAACATTTGAGCCAACTGGAATGGCACCTGCCTTTTTGTTATTGCTAATAATTTTAAAGACGAAAGACCAGCCATATTGATGTTCTTCGAGAGGGTTCCATGCCGTGCCAAGAACTTTACTTGTCCCATCCTTTATGATAATGTTTTGCAATTCATTTGCGGTTTGATCGTGAAAATCGAGATTATTGTAATGACATTTATGCAAACTAAACCCTGCCGATTGCAGTAGTTGTATAAGCTCAGAGCGGAACAGAAGGAGAAGAAAAAATTTAAGGATATCACTTTTTTATATCAGCAGATAGTCAAATAAGGGACCAAGAACCCATTGAAAAACCCATACCATAAGTTTTATCCTAACCAGCAATACGAATAAAAGAAAATTAATTTTGTGAGAATTTGAGGGTGTTTTCAAGTCAAAATATTTTCTTTATCTTTGTTTCAACATTAAATAATTATATATAAGATATAAACAAAATTTGTCATTAATATTTCTGTCGCAGAAGATGCTTTATTTATTTCTTAAAATATTTCCCACCTATAGTACTTAAATACATCAGTGGTAAATAAAAATGTAGTTGAAAACGACAGAGGATGTTATAAATATAATGTACCTACCATCTAGTTTAGTGTCTTTTAAAGATATTGTAAAAATAACAACTTTGTTTAGGTTTTTTATTTTTGGCATCCTAAATATTAAATTAGAGTTTTACTAAGTTAACTTAAAATGTTTCCTGTCTTTTATAAATATTTCGGGCCCTTACTTGACTATCATAAAATATTTTTTTTTACTTTTATGCCATAAAACTCCACCTAGTGGCTCTATTTCACGACTACAACTTTATAGCAATAAGTTTTTCACATTTATGTTAGAAAATGTTCGAACATCCCCCACCACCTTCTTTTGAAAGATACAGCAAAGAGCATTAAATAAAAAAGCTTAAAATTTGTCTCAGCAATAAAACAGCAGTCACTCGAACCATGATGACGATGAGAAGATTTTGTGGAAATCGAGTTTTTAAGAATCCAGATAGCAATGCACCCCCTAGTGTCCATATGATAAACTCGAAAATAAAATAATTTCGAGCTTTTTATTTTTCGTATCTACTTCATTTTCGTATCCCTAATGTTGTTCTTACTGGGACCCTCGGTATTTTTTAAATTATGCTTCAATCTTTTTCATTTGACTCATCATTTTACAGAGGGTGCATCTTACAAATATTATATACAGGTTGTCCTAGCGGAAACTTCGTCGATCTGATCTGGGAAAACTAACAAAAATTTGATAACTTGCTATTGTTCTAGTCGTAGCGCTAAATAATTAAAATAAAAACAAAAAAAGGTTAATTTTTATTGACACTCGTCAGCGTTGTGCAAACATTCCCTCACATTATTGGAAATGTATGCAGTCGAAAATTCCACGTTTTTCGAATTAACAATAAATTGATTATTGACCGAATTAAAATTAATTGCGGGAATCGGGAATTATATCGTAGTAGTTGAAAAAATCCTCCTTATGCCATTTGAACCATTCGAGCCGAGGACGAGCTACGTCGAGAGATTGCTCCACAATATATGTAAATAGTGAATCGTCAGTTGGAATCATCTTCCACGTCTCTATCTACAAGAAAGATAATACAGATCAAACAATATAATTGGAAAAGAATTGATTGAAAGGAAAAATGTTTTCGATTTTACCTGGTCAATATTGTTTTGATCTGGGAATCTCTCTATAATATTTAATATAATCGAATAAACATTTGAACCATACCTAGAACAATATTACAACCAATAATTTGCATATATAGTACAGTGCCCAAATTCGAATCCCCTGTAGAGAGAATTGGGAATTGATAATTTAGAACCATTATATTTTTGCTAAAGAACTCAGCACGATGATAGTTGCTGATAAATTTGTTATTTCAGACCCACACACCTCGAATCGTTCCTTAATCAGGGTCACACTAATTCGCATACGGTAAATTGTAAAATTCCAAAATCACCTTAGGATTTTTCACTACAAGGCACCAAGATAAGTTTTATGAAATTTTCCAAAGTGTTCAATATTACTTGAAAACTATAATTTTTTAAGAAGCGAATCAACTTGTGTAATTTAAAGCTGAATGCAGCTCTATGAGATCAGAACCGGAGTAGATGAAGCAACAGGATAGAAATGTTAACTTTAAAATATGTGGGGTTTTAGAGGTAAAGGGTGAAAACGTTGAGACATTGGTAAAAAAATTTCAGAAACTCTTCAAATTCAACTTGAGAATAATGACATTATTTTCAGTCACAGAGTCAGCCAATTTCCGAGTGTTACATTCGAATACACCTCTAAGAACACTGTGGTTAAATTTTAGGTAATTTCTAAGTAATCTGAAATCGCAGAGCAGCAAAGAAGCGCGATTTACAACCACTACTTCATACCTCAATATTTGATTACAGAGAAAACACAAGATCTTCATTAACATCTTTCTCCTTTCTGCAAGTGCATTCATAAGGCAGTAATGTTAGCCACGGAAAAAAATACAACCAAAATACGAAAATATTCTTAAAAAAAAAAGTGTTATCTATGTTAAAAACGAAAATGATTTAGCGCACTTGAATTAGTTTTCTAATTTAAACTCACATTTACTCATTTGGAAATTATACTTGTTACAATATTTTTAAAAATGGCTCCAAACGACTTTTTTAGTGTATACTATCAGAGTACCAGAGGACTACGAACAAAATTAAATGATACCTTATCTCCGAGTATCACATACGCTACTTTAAAAAATTATGTTGCTTTTCCTACCAGTATTTGCACTAGAATCGGTAAATTCTTAATAATTGGGAATTTTAACTTAACGAACTTGAGACAATTTTATCCTATCGTCGTGGCACCGTCTTAAAAACCCTTCTAGGTCAGTCGAAAATCAGCATCGGTCGGTAAACCCACGAAATTAAAGTCCGGTATACGCGAGTTCAAAGTTAACGGGTTTTGGGGACTTCGGTGAGTTTTCTTTGCCTTGGTTATTCCTTCCCTCTATTTTCCTTTCTTCACCGAGAGTTTAGTGTATACGATCGCAGACAGTCCGGGTAAGTCCAAATTAAAATTTAATTGCAACAAGTTGACTAAAGGTCACACCATATTTTGATCACTTCGAGCCGGATACCAGTTCATACATAAGACATCGTAATACAAGTTTCGATTTTTGAGGTGACTAAGTTCAAAAGATAGTAAAACTTTAAGGGAGAAGATATTTGCAGTTTTTTCGGTTGCGCGTTTTTTGTATTGCCTTTGATTCTGACTCGCGTACCTGGGTTTTTTGTGACTTGCGGGTTTTCTTTCATTTCATTGACCTTCGACTCATTAAAATTATCAAATTAGTAGCAGTACATATGTCTACAAGAGATATAGATCACGGTATATCCACAGCAGCGGAATAATAAAACGGTTGAATATTAGACGCCTTTAGTAAATACAATCATAATAAGATAAATTTTGATTGTCGTACGATCTTAAATGATAGAAAATTTAAAATGTTAACAGCCAAACAGGAGGTGCCATAATCAATCATTCAAAACCTTTATGACTTATCGAAAGATCGTTCAACGTAAAATAAAATTAATTTTCCTATTTTACAAATTTTAGATCACATAAACGAAGTAGGTTTTGATATTAATGAAAATTTTAAACCGAAATATCAAGTTGTTAGCGTAATCAATGAGATGTGCTGTAGAATAAGGGCGCCATATACCAAAATAAAACCAAATGAAAACGTTGTCAATTTAAGTTTGCAACAATCTACACAACAGCAGAGTAATATGATGAGTCTTTTACCAAAAATCGAAATTCCGGATTTTTACGGTGAGACAAAATATGCTGAAATGTTTTATTCTATTTATATCATTTAATTCATGACAATTTTCATTTAACTGACGCGAATAAGGTGGGACTGCTCGTGAAGCATTTAAAGGGACCGGCCCTCAGTGTTTGTGCAGGTATGGCAGCATCGGGTGATAATTAAGATACTATTTGGAAGTCTCTTTTAGAAAAATATTATCAGCAAGCACTTACTTACACCAAATTGTTAATTTTAAACAATTACAAAAGGAATCGGAAAAAAATGAACTATTTTTTGGAAAATTTTGTTACTTCGGTAAATACACTAAAAAAAAATCGACATTCCGGATTTATTGGATTTTATTTTGCTTTATCATGCGCTCTCAAAGCTTGACAAGGAGACGGTTAAATCATTCGAAAATCATAAGAGAGCCACGGAAATACCTACATACTCGAATTTAATACAATTTGTTAAAGAGCAAACCAAAATTTTACATAATAATGAAACAACGGGAGCTAGCACTAGCGGTTTCAGTAAAAATAAAAATTCACGAACATTTGTTGTTTTGCGATAACGATAATAAAGGCAATAAACCTCCCTTTTGTGTATTATGTAGGACAGTAGGTCATATTTTGAGCAAATGTGAAAATTTTAAAGGAATGACTTTCAATCAACGGTACGAGCTGATCAAAACCAATAATTCATGTTTATACGTAATTTATTAAAAACAAACACTTGCTTTAAGATTACCACACACATATTTATTGATTTGACAATTGTTTTCTTCAAGAATCTCTTAACTAACTATCACAGGGTTGATTGCAGACTATCCATACAGTAGGCAGAATCTTTATCTAAGGGTTTAAGAAGGGAGAATTATTTAAATCGGTTTGATCATTTAGTAGCAAAATTGTATATTTCTGTTTATTAATTTCTATTGTTTCTAATAAGTTGATTTTTTTGCTTTTGCCTTGTTTTTTAGGTATTATTTCACTTGGTTGTCCAAAATAAGTTAATGTGTTAAAATTTTTGTTTGTTTTATTAGAGTATTGTTTAGGAAAGACTAGATTCATGGCCTTGTTATATAGTTTCTTTTTTAACAGTGAGTCAATTAAATTGGGTTCGTAACTGTTGTTCAATGCAATTTGTTTAATTGTATTTAATTCCTTGTCGTAATCTTCTTGATTGAGAGGGACCTGAAGTAATCTATGTAAATAGCTATTAAAAGCGGCAATTTTATATTGGTCTGGATGGTTAGAACTATTGTGAATTACTGTGTCTGTATGTGAGGGTTTATGATAAATGGAGAAATTTATATGTTTCTTTTTTTTGTTAGTTTTTTCGAGTGTTCGAAGTGTTTTCGGAGCGCGAGCATTGAAGATGCCAAGTGAGATTTTGGCGAAACGCCTGCAGGATTCCAGTCGGATGCAGGATTTGCACGATTCCAGTCGTATGCAGGATAGCAGTCGGAGTTCAACGAGCGAACGGATGATATCCCGGAATATAGTGTCATCACATTTTTCCATCCGTGAATCAATACGTGAGAATATATATTAAAAAAGAAACTATATAACGAGGCCATGAATCTAGTCTTTCCTAAACAATACTCCAATAAAACAAACAAACATTTTAACACATTAACGTATTTTGGACAACCAAGTGAAATAATAGCTAAAAAACTTAGAAAGCTAAATCGGAATATTGCTTTTAAATATAATAGGACATTAGGATCTGTAATTAAAAATATTAATACGAAAATACATAAGTTATGTAAGTCGGGAGTATACAAATTAACATGTGGATCTTGTCCAAAAATATACATAGGTCAGATAGGCAGAAGTTTCAAGAAACGGATTCAAGAACTCAAAAGTTTATTCTTGAATTCTAAAAATGACTCTAATTATAGTAATCATTTAATAGAAACAGGACATTCCTTCAATAACGATGTTAAAATATTATATAGTCAAGGCAAAAAACTTAACTTATTAGAAACAACAGAAATTAATAAACATAAATATACAAGTTTGCTACTAAGCGATCAAACCGACTTAAATAATTCGCCTCTCTTAAACCCTTAGATAAAGATTCTACCTACTGTACGGATAGTCTGTAATCAACCCTGTGTTTTAGTTTAGAGATTATTTCTGAAGAAGGTACAGTGTACCGAAACAATTGTCAAAGCAATAAACATGTGTATCGTAATCTTAAAGTAAGTGTTTGTTTTTATTAAATTACGTATGTAATGGATTATCATCAAGTAAAAGTCAACTCAATCAAATCAACAATTTATTTTTCTTGTGCCTCTAGCAGTTTCACGGAGTACGCCAATGCTCCAAGAGCTCATGTGAACAGTGTGGTAGAAACCATCATTTTTTACTACATACTAGTAGGGATAATGTAGTCAAAGCCACCATCCATCAATCTGAGAGTACCAGCTCTCAAAAATCGAGTTCTCAAAACAACGTTAATTGAATTGCGGTAAATTGTGCATTTCACAAATCCAATCTTTTAAATAGCAATAACAAAAAAATGGTTTTATTGGCGACAGCCACGGTATTTGTATTGAACAGTCCCTTTGAGAACGGCAACGGCACGATTTATACTGGATAGCGGTAGCCAGTGTAATCTTATTACTACAGAGTGCTGTAAAAAAATCGGGCTGAAATATTTTAAAGTACATTCTTCAATCCAAGGTTTAGGAAAAAATACTCAATTGGTTAGAGGGAGTACCGATGTTAAAAAAACCCTTTGATCAGAATAAGCCTTACGATATGCAAGCTTTAATTATTGATCACTTCAAGGGAAAATTACCAAGATCGACGATTGATATTCGTGGCTTATCGGAATTTTGGAAATTACAGTTAGCGGATGATAAATTTTTTGAACCGGCTCCAATTGACGGTATACTCGGTGCCCAGCTTTTTCCAATGATTTTCGGGAG